AGAGCCAGGCTCTTTTCAGTGGTGCCCAGTGACAAGACCAGAGGCAGTGGGCGCAAACTGAAACACGGGAGGTTTCCTCTGACCATCAGGAAATGCTTTTTTACTGCGCGGGTGAGCAAGCACTGGCACAGGTTGCCCAAGGAGGTTGTGAAGTCTCCATCCTTGGAGATAGCCAAAAGCCATCTGGACACAGTCCTGGGCAACTGGCTCTTGGTGGCCCTGCTTGAGCAGGGGGGTTGGACCAGGTGGCCTCTGGAGGTACCTTCCAACCTCAGCCATTCTGTGATTCTGTGATTTCTGAAAGCATATGCTAAAGAAAATTCTCCAAGTTACTCAAATGCAATGCTGGAAGAGAAGACCAGTCTAGTAGTATTTAAATGTGGTGATATTTTGATCTGAGGCTCTGTTCATGCCCTTAAACCCTTGTGGTTTTCTTACTTTTTAGAAGAGTTTTTCAAGTATTTGACTTGTAATGAGCTGTCACATTGATCTTTTTAAAGCAAAAGTGATAGTCTCTAAGCAGATCAGTAGAAAAGCTGCTAGCAATAAGACATGAAAATTGCAGCCTGAATGTCCATAATACATTCACAAATTTGGTTTTTAAAGGAGCCTTTAATTAATCTTACTACTTTGTATTGCTTGCAGAGTTACAAATCTGTTTTTGAAAGAAACAGGCAAAAGCTGACAAAGAGAATAAAGAACGCATGTAAGAGATTTCACAAATATTTTTTAATAGTTTGCACTACTAGTCCTAAGGCTCTTGACTAAAATATTATTTAAAGTTGAATGTATTTACTTTGCAGTTAGAATATAGTAATGTAGAGCCCATTCTAGAGAAGCAGTTCTTCATTACATTCTTGTTGGTGATGAAGGCTGGGATGGCCTTCACCGGTTCTCGGAATGTTGCCTGCTGCTTGTATTTGCCAGAGGGGGTGGGGGTAGAGTCACAGTCTTCTGGACCATGAAAACTTTAATTTTACTATCCCAATAGTTTCTGATGTTAATTATATGTAGGTCAAATGTGAATATCTTTTCTTTGTATTTAAGGGTTATTTTCCAGCCTAGTTATCAGCATACTCTGGAAAGACTGAAATGCTTTGACAGCAAACAACTTGATAATTATCAAAGTATCATAAATATGTGTTTGAAAATTAGAGCTTTGTTTCATTCTGATTACTGTATCTGAAGTTCTTGATCTACTCTTGAGACTTTAGTATTTTTTCCTATACTGATTCACTGTATGAGGGAAACTATGTCCTGTCAGCCCCGGAGCTGAGCACGCCGTTGCCCCGAGAAGGGTGTGCCCAGGCTATCAACAGCATCCTCTTGGTTGCCTCCTCGTGCTTCATTTATGACTTCGTACAGCATATGCTCAGCTGCCTCTTTTATTGAGCCTGTTCTGTCACTTGGTCTGTTTACCCGCTATCAGCTGTGATAGTAATATGAGTCTTACCTGAACATGAGTGTGCTACCTGAAGTTACTGATGAAGCTAAAGAAGTTGGAGCATCCCTTACGCTTCTCTGCAACTGGAACTTCTATGCAGGGGGGGGTAAAAAAAAAAAGGTGATGTCTGTACAATATATACTTACAGTCCTGTAACTGCAGCTGGTTTTGTACTAGTATAGGTATTCTAGAAAATTCTCAGTGGCCAAACCAGCTAAACTAGTGAAGTTTTCAGTGCGAACAAGATGTAGTGGATTGATACCAGCTGATATGTAAAGAGCAGTGAGTGGATAAAATATCAGAGGGAGCTGGTGAGCAGGGGACTCTGTAGCTGTTGTATACAGAAGGGCAGGGAGAAATAGGATGGATGGAGAGTAGCAGAGTGTGAGTACTGCTTGGAAACCACAGGAAATATAAAAGGGTTTCTATTAACTTTAAGAGCAATTGCTAATGAAATGAGGAACTAATACGAAGGAGAAGCAGCTGAGTGGGTTTGAATGAACAAGTGATAATAAGATTGTCTGGAGTGATCCATAGCAAAGTAGAGGTGCAAGATGAGGCAGAAATCTGAAGGCAAGTTTGAGACAGAACACCAACAGTATTCTGATGGTAGAATGAAATACTTTGTCACATGTTAAAAATCCTTTGATGAAGGAGGAGATTTATTTTCTTTGAGAACAGCAGATAACCTTTTTCTGTAACTTTATGGCGTAAAGGGAGGCTTAGAAAACTCGCAGCTTCTCACAAGTTGTGTACTGTCTGTGTCACCACTGCAGTGTTCGCATGGTCAGAAAAAAGATGAGAAAACAATTTTCCAATATATATTTTGAAAGCCTGCT